ACTAGCACGACGGGAGGCTTTTGGGCCACCCTAGGTATTGGTTCGACCACATGGGGGCTCTTGGTCAATTGTCTCGTCGAACCTCTCTTCGTGTTAGACCGGTACCTCTGGATGAGGTGGTGTAACACCCCATTTAAATTATTCAGTCGCTTTGGTATTTTCTGTGATGTGTAGTTGTGTGGTGTCCTTAATTAAGGGTATGAGGTTAGGAGTAAGGGAGAGAGGTGACCAGGTACCTGAGTAGTGCTTGGAGTGTGTTGCTATTTGATCGAGTCTTAGGAGTCGCTCTGATACGTAACATGGGATGATGGGATTATGTTGTTATTTGACTACTTTATTTGTTTATTGTTACGTATCTTCATTTATTGGACTTATGTTGTATGACCTCGTGTCGAGGAGAATTATATTGGAGAATTGATTTGTATTCCGCTGCTTGCTTGAAAACTAAATAATATTGATTATTTTAATGAAATGAAGTGACTTAGTGTGATATCCCACTGTGTTGGAGAACTCTGATGAATTTCATGAATTGTTTCTCTATATTTATTATATTACGCGTACGGGGTAAAGTGGGGTTTTACAATTGGTATCAGAGCAGGTTGGTCCGTCCGGCTAGTGTTGTAGTAGAGTCTGACTATAGAATGTTTATAGTCATGTGTGTGTTTGAATTGTCCAGTGTCGATCTTTGGTAAGGATTTTGGAGTGGACTTGAATTGTTTACCACTCAGCAAGTTGGATGTTATTCTAGGAATGAATTGGCTTGAGAGTAAGATGCGAGAGTCGTATCCGGAACCGTTCTCATCAGGTACATTTTCGAGGACGAAAATATTTTAAGTGGGGGAGAGTTGTAACACCCCATTTAAATTATTCAGTCGCTTTGGTATTTTCTGTGATGTGTAGTTGTGTGGCGTCCTTAATTAAGGGTATGAGGTTAGGAGTAAGGGAGAGAGGTGACCAGGTACCTGAGTAGTGCTTGGAGTGTGTTGCTATTTGATCGAGTCTTAGGAGTCGCTCTGATACGTAACATGGGATGACGGGATTACGTTGTTATTTGACTACTTTATTTGTTTATTGTTACGTATCTTCATTTATTGGACTTATGTTGTATGACCTCGTGTCGAGGAGAATTATATTGGAGAATTGATTTGTATTCCGCTGCTTGCTTGAAAACTAAATAATATTGATTATTTTAATGAAATAAAGTGACTTAGTGTGATATCTCACTGTGTTGGAGAACTCTGATGAATTTCATGAATTGTTTCTATATATTTATTATATTACGCGTACGGGGTAAAGTGGGGTGTTACAGGTGGCGTCCTCTGTCAAACTTGTGCCCTAGGAACACCTAGGAAATCACATATTTTAGTCATATGAGTTGCCATTTGTTGGTAACTCTGAGTCAAATCTTGAATTAATAGCCTCAATATGGTCCCCATTAACTGAGTTAGCATATAGACCATTTTGTGATTACTTTCGTCCATCTGCTATCTCATAACCGCAACAGAACTTGAAGTAAAGGTTGGGATATCCTGAGATGGAAACCCCACTCTTGTGGTTCGACCGAATTGGTTTCCCAATGGTCCTAATCTATTGTAAGGTGAAAATGCTGAGGATGAATTTTCGTCAAACGTCGAACCGCTACCATGCACACTTGCCATCAACTCGGATGTCATTCCAAAGCTTTGATCCCTACCATGCATGGGGAACGTGAAACTAAGCATATATGGCCCTGAAGTTCCAACCACTGTTGGTCTTAACGCTTCAGGCTGACGCGGTGATAGTGTCGGTCCACTATGGGCAGTCACAACTGCAGCCATAGTGTTAGAAGCAACATTAGTTGCTTCTGACATGATTGTATTTCCTCTTGAGGATTGCTCCTCGTTTGGACTGGTATTTGGTGGATCTACCATCTTCTTATCACTATGTAATTGCATATATTTAACACAACGGTGTTAGAACACAGATTGGTTCTTAATAATATCTCTATGTTTTGATGATAACTATTAGGAAATTTTGTATTTAAGAATTATATACTCTAAAATTTGCCTGAGAGTTTTTACTGCAGATAGTAAAGACATTAACACTCTAGAAGCAAATCAGAATTGAATACAAGAATTTAACAAGACTCTGAAGCGCCAGATGCACTCATTAGAAGATTCTGATTGCTGCTAACAGAAGATCCTGAGCGTAGCCTCCAGAAGGATCTAAAGCAAGAAGCTCCAGAAGATTCTAAAGCAGAAGCTCCAGAAGAATCTGAAGCAAGCAGAAGCATCTGAAGCAAGCAGAAGCATCTGAAGCAAAGAAGAATATTGTATGAAGAGTTTTTCAAAGCATAGTTTCTACAGAAGATTCTGAAAGTACTAAAGCTTCCAGTACTGAAATTCTGTTCCAAATATGCTCTGATATTTAACACGCTGAAAGCACACATGCTGCAGAAGACTCTGATCCAGCAAGCTCTGATCATCATCAGAAGACTCTGACTCAATTAGACTCTGATGAACTTGCTGAAAACTGAAGAAGAATTATTCAAAGAATATATCCGTTGGAGAAAATCAAACGTCTCTTTCCTTATTTATGCTAGACACAAGAACACAAACAAAAAGGATTTTTCTGTGATTTCTTCTTCTAGGAAAGGTCACTTGATGTGAAGACAAAAAGGCTCAGACTTTTTGGGACACTCTTCTCAACGTGCAGCTCCCTTGGATCAGCTGCCTATAAAAGCAAGTCTCCACCAAATTCTTCAGTTAGACATTTTGCTGAAAAGAAATTGAAACATTCAAGCTCTCATATTCTCATATTCATTCTTAGAATTATTTGTACTTAAACTTAAGAGAAATATCACTGTTGTGATAAAAGCTTTTTAGAAGCATTCATACTCTTGTATTAGATTTACATTAATTGTAAAGGATTTCCTTAAGAGGATTCAGTTGGAATCAGTAGCTCTTGAGAAGACTAAGAACAGTTGTTCTTAGGTGTTGCTATTGTAATCTGTTTGATTAAATAGTGGATTAAGTCCTTGTTGAGAAAGGCAAATCACTCTAGGAAGGGTGGACTGGAGTAGTTGAGTTCAACGAACCAGGATAAAAATAATTGTGTTTTTATTCTAAGTTTTTAATCTTCCATACTTATTCAACCCCCCTTCTAAGTATTTTCTCACCTTCAAACGGGTCCCACCGGGTGTTCCAATTCGTACGCTTGGATTTCTAGATAATAATCGCTAGCCTCTTATTAAAGGTTACCTGCAGGATCGACTACAAAATCCTAGACTAAGTGTTAAGTATAGAATGATTGCTTAAGTGTCTGGGTTTGGAATTGTAAATACAAAAACTGCATTCATACAACTGAGATAACTCAATGAGAAAATAAGACAAAAATTGCAAAGGGAAATGAATTGAAAACAAAGACTTATGAAATAAATTGTTAAATGTAAGTTGGACGCATGCATACATTTGTGTAGAAATGACTCGTTTCTCTTAGACGATGATACTTTAAGTGTATTCTTTTCAATGTTACAAAATGCGACCCCTGAAACTGAAACTAAACTACTTAAATAGGCATAAGAAATAACTGCTACTTCGCTGTCGACCATCCACAGTCTGCCACGCGTCCACCCTTGCACGCCCACTTCTTATGTAATTCCCCACGTTCTCGTCAGTTACAAACTTGCTCTTTTTATTTGCCTTCGATCTTAATCAGAATGACTATCTGTCGAGCTTGCTACAACTTCCTTTTGACAGGTAGTCCGTCAAGACTCCTTCGACCTTGGTTTGCAGAATCTTCTATCGAACTTGCTTCGACTTCTTTGTTTGTGATGTCAAGCTTCTCTTTGACTTGTTTCTTTTTCTTTTTTCTTTTTTTTTTTTGAAATTTATCAACCAATAGATTCATATATATATATATATATATATATATATATATATATATATATATATATATATATATATATATATATGACCAGATACATTATTAATTCAACAAATTTATAAATAAATAAATAATTATTGCTTATAACTTATAATAGTGATTAAATGGTCTATATAGAAAGATGATGCAAGTGAATTAAGTTCGTATGCCATGTGTACCTATAAGACAAATCAGTTGGGTAAAATTACTAATTTTTTTTACTTGGGTAATAAAGGTGTTCCCTTATTATTATTGTCATTTCGTACTACATGGGACCATTCAAGGATAGTTCCACTTTGTCAGAAAACGAAGTTTCTCTCTAGATATCTTAACATTTAAAATCTAACTAAGTTAACTTTTCATAAAATTTTCATTATTCAACCTAAAAAAATAGTTTGATTTAACTAAGAAGATTGTTAATTCAATAATGAATTTCATTAATATGAAAGGACCAAGAATTTTTACACTATTAATAAATCATAATAGTACCAATTAATCTATTTAATAATTACTGAACAATTTCAAATATATATATATATATATATATATATATATATATATATATATATATATATATATATATATATATATATATATATATATATATATATATATATATATATATATATATATATATATATATATATATATATATATATATATATATATATATATATATATATATATATATATATATATATATATATATATATATATATATATATATATATATATATATATATATATATATATATATATATATATATATATATATATATATATATATATATATATATATGCTAGTGGCTAAGTTAACATGCACCATCCGAACCGAACCTAAGAGGAACTAGATTCTTATTCGAATTCGAATTCAAATTCAAATTCTCCACTATAAAGTCATCTACTCGGTGGATATTTCAAAACAATAACAATTTTTTTAATTACAAAATAATAAAATAACTCAGAAATAACTTTTCATATAAATTTCAACTGGAAAACAACAATATAGATGTTTAATACACCACATTAACAGCACTATTAAGGTTCCATTGAAATTTTAACAGCAACACATGACATGAATCAATAGAGATCTAAAACTAGATCTCTTTCACACCACTTGATTTCTCATCAACTTCAAAAGCAGAAACTGGAAAAGTTCTAGAAAGTCCAGCAGGTGTTTGGAAAGTGATTTTCCCAGTAGGTGGGTCATCCACATAAATATCACTGATTGTAATCCAAATGAAAAGCTCTTTGGTTTTCACACCAGTTAGTTTCTTAATCTTACCTTTTTCAACATGGGCTGTGACTTCAGTAGCATAAGATGTAACTTTTCCAATCTTTTCAAATTTGTGTGTTGTGCTTTTCTTTTGTTTCAGCCAAACAAAACCGGCTTCTTTATTGCAACCAACTTCAATGATGTCTTTCAATGGTAATAGACCGTTGGGGAGAGCAATTTCTCCAAGAAACTCTTTGGATTTCTGTTGACAGATTTTGTCTCCATGGAATATCTCGGATTTCGATTTCATTTCTTCGGTTACCAACGACATCGTTTTGAGTTGCTATTTTTTTTATTAGTTTTAGTGTGAGGTTACAATAGGTGGTAGTTGGGGTCTTATATACATCTCATTTTGTAAAACTAGTCTTACATCTGCAGTTATTTTCAACAATTGCCATTGCCGTCTATAAATGAAACATTTAATTCCTTATTTTTCACCCTCTAAATTAAAATAAAATGTTTTATATTTATTTTAAAACTAAATAAAATGTTTTGTTAAAATAATGTAATGTTCCAATTTGGAACTCAACTTCACAATATTATTTTTCACCCTCTAAATTAAAATAAAATGTTTTATATATGTTTTACAGCTAAATAAAACGTTTTGTTAAAATAATGTAATGTTTCAATTTGGAACTCAACTTCACAATATTGATTAGGGTTGACAAATTTAAATCGATCGATTGAAACCGACCGACTTGATTTTTTTTTTTGTAAATAAATTGAGTCAAGTTGGATGTCGAGTTGATTGATTGTTTAATTTGAATAGTATAGAGTTGTTTCGGTCAAACTCAAAATATTTATTTTGAATTTAACGAAAATCGAAACCGATCGAACTTAATTAATATATATTTTATTTATTTTTATTACTATATAAATGATTAACTATAAATGAAATTCATAATATTGTAGGATATTATCATTTTCATAATTTGATGATTGTATTTTGTATTTCCAAAAATACAAGATATGCATTATAATATTTTGAGTGTTATTTGGTTTGTGGTTTAAAATATGATAAGGATCAAAATTAATGTCAAATAATATTGAAAATATTATCCCGTAATAATAATTTTTTTTAATAATAAAAAAATAGTTCTATTTTAAAAATTTGATGTTTTTATAAAAAAATATAAAATAGTTATTTTTATAGATCGTCTCCTGCAAATATATGTAACTATCTCTCAGCTGCTTTATCAATGGTCACGAATTCTTACAAATTAAATAAAATAAAATGGAATTGTTTTGAAAAGAGAAAAAATATAGATGGATGGATGAGATGAAGGCAGAATGAAAGCAAAAGAGAGGATAGGGGAGAGGATCCAAATTCTTGATGGACTATTAAGAAAGATGATGTTTGACCGATTTTATTAAAAAAGATTTGTAAATCTTCCGTAAATATTTTGACGATCAAATTAGTATAGATCATGAAATTTTGAGAACTATAGAGTTATAATAACATTAAAATTGTGTTATTGAATTTGGATTAGTATAAAAAAATCAAACTAAAACAAAAAAAATGTCACGAAATCTTTTCTCATATTGATTTGATGGTCCATATTACTTTATGGAACCTTTGGACTTTTCACTCTTTGAATTTTTCCTTTTATTGTGTCTTTATCATGTATGTGGCGGCTCATACTAGAACACTCACTCTCGAGCTTTTATTTGACAGAGTCAAGCAGTTAATATTTTGAGTCAAACATTTGTTGATTATGATTACCTCGTTAGAATTATTGTTGATTAAATCTTTTGTATTGATGATTACCTCGCAAATGATATATATATATATATATATATATATATATATATATATATATATATATATATATATATATATATATATATATATATATATATATATATATATATATATATATATATATATATATATATATATATATATATATATATATATATATATATATATATATATATATATATATATATATAATTAAAAAATAAAATAATCTAAATATTATATCAAGCATGAGCTTGGTAATTTAATCTAAGGTTAAATTATATAAAAGTTAAATCAAATATTTTATGGACATGTGACTCTAAACATAAAAGAGAGTGAATTGTGTTGTTTGAAAAATGTTGATTAAAATAAATAAAAAAAGAGAAAATTAGAGTTTAAAATTATTGGTAAAAGAAAAAAAAGCAACATAATAAAGAAACAAATGGAAAAACGAAGGAAAGAAAGTAACTGAAAAGTAAAAAAAGAAAAAAAGAAAAAAGAAAAAGAGAGAGAGATAATGGAAGGAGAAAGACACCAGCGAATTATATAGTCTCGGTCTAAATGAAGATGACATAAGTCTCGTCCCAAAAGCGTGATATGCTGCCTCTGATGCTGAGTAATGTCAAGTCAGTTTTACAAACACGAGACTCAAGATTTATTGACATTATCTTCTACAGGTTGTGTTGTACTTGAATCATAGTTGTATCCTCTGGACAAAGGCCTTATTTCATGGATATTCTTGTGACTGAAAGTTCCAACACTTGCATTATTGAAAAAGAAGATGTACTAGAAGATTTAATTTGTTTGTAGCCATTGAAGATGCTCCAATGTCTCTATTTTCTTTGGCTATAAAAAGCACTTGAAGAATTGAACATCAACTAAGAAATAACGCTGCAAATAGAACTGAGAAATATACACACTACTATCAGAAAGCTGAGTCCGTTAAGAATTCTTATTCTTATGCTGATTAAGAATCTTTGTAAAAATGAGTTGTATTATTTTTTTGAACACCTCTGATATTTATCATGTGTTGTTGTAAGTTATTCCTTCTCTAAACTATCTGTTTAGATATAAGTCTCTTGCTGTAGGCTTGAGCAAGGTGAAGTTTTAGACACGAGATCTAAGCAAACAAAAGTCTTAATCAGAAGATGGTTAAGCAAGGGAAAGTCTTATACACAAGATCTAAGCAGAGGAAAGTCTTAGACACAAGCTCTAAGTAAGGTAAAGTATTAGGCATATGGTCTAAGCAAGATAAGTCTCGGTCAAGAGATGATTGAGCAGAGGGAAGTCTTAGACACGAGCTCTAAGGAAGGGAAGTCTTGGACAAGTGGTCTAACCAACATGCATCTAACCCTTTCAAGGATTGTTCGATTAAATCTATCAGCTAAGCCATTTTGTTAAGGAGTACCTGCTACAGTCTTATGCCTTACAATCCTAGACTCAACATAGTAACTGTCGAATACTTCATTGCAGAACTCAAAGTCATTGTCGGTTCTCAACCTCTTAACCTTTCTGCTAGTTTGAGTTTCGACCAGAACCTTCCAACTATTGAAATTCTCAAAAGTTCCATCCTTCGTCTTCTGGATGAATCCCCATAGCTTCCTGGAATAGTCATCATTGATGGATAGAAAATACCTTGCACCTGAGTGTGAAGGATTTCTTGCAGGCCTCAAAAGACCAGCATGAATGTAATCTAGAGATCCATGTGTTCTTTGCTTGCCTTTGTTAAACTTCGTCCTACAAGATTTACCAAATACACAAGATTCACAAAACTCCAACTTTTCGACTTTGTCACCTCCTAGCAGGTTCTGCTTCCCCAATTCGACCAGGCCTTTTTCACTGACATGGCCCAATCTCATATGCCATAATTATGTCTTCGACACAAGTTTCATAGATGTAACATTTGTCGGTGAGAATAGGATATCAAATTATTAATTAATTTAAATCGCAAATCTTTAATTCACAACCAGTCTTTGATTTATCCGAAGGAAAGGTTAAAGAAACGAAAAACCTACTTTTTGCATTGTAAACAATGCGGCGAGAGATCTAGGTAAGGGGTTGGTTAAGCTTAGGGAAGGTATTAGCATCCTAAACTTCTGTAGTACTCTACAGGAACCTTTTGTTTAAGTTTGCTATTTTGCTTTATTATTTGCTTAAGGGTATATTGCTAAGGGTTAAAAGTGAAAAGAAAGACCTAAGGGTTAGTCCTAAGTTTACTCGCCAAGATTAGCATCTTGTGCCTACGTATCCGAGGTGGGGATGAAATCAGAGTAATCGTAGTTCCCCTCGAAAGGGAGGTTAGAAACTTCTTGACTGTGGTCAAGGTTTCAATGGGGAATAAGCGTTCTTAAGGAAGCGCTTACGTGGAGTGCGGCGACTCCAATCTCTACGTTGAAATAGTTGAATTGAATTAAAAATGGTAAAACTAGGTATTCCACGGCGGAACACCTAAAACGTGTAGAAGCACATTTTCAATCTCAAGGTTTAGATGATGTCAACAAAGACTCAAGCTCATTCCATGATTGCAAGAAAAAAGTCAAAGCCTTCAAATTGATCAAGATTTTTATACTATATACCCGTGGGGGTATATGTACTAAGAAGCTGCTTGCACTATATAACCGTGGGGGTATATACACTGAAGATAAAACCAGAAGCATATCATCTATGGAATGTTGTCAAGCAAATCAAACATCATGTGCAAATGTTCCTACAACTTTCAAGATTTGGACTCAAGCTTCGGTATATCATCTTTCACTCCTTTAATTGATATACAAGTGTTCAAATACTTATCATATTTACATTTTGCATTTGCGTGTTTTTAAAATCATTTTGAACTGGTATAACACTTTTTAACTCAAGCATTTTTCTGAGTTTTAATAGTGTTAACCGATTAACCATATGGGTTAATCGGTTAACGGCCTTAATTTTTGAATTCTTTGGGCCAACGTTCAAGTGTTAACCGATTAACCTATATGGTTAACCGATTAACACTGAACGAATTTTGAAAAATTGTTTCTGTTAAAATTCAAATTTTGTTTGAATGTTATACCTTTTCATTTTGTAATTCATACTCAATTATACCTTTTTGAAATGGTGTTTTGCTCATATAAATTCTGAAAATTTCAAATTGAAAAACACCTCCAATAATTTTCAAAATATTCATTGAATCAAATTCACTACTTTTCAAATATTTTTAAATATTTTCAGAAAGTTTTCATATTGTTCATACAATTTCATATCCAGTTTTTGAACACTTGTATTGATATTGAAGAGTGGATTTTGATCAAAAGGAGAAGATCAATCATTAGATTGATATTATCATTGTATCACTTTCAAAATTACAAAAATACAAAGTTATTTCTATTTGTGACTTGTGATCCAGGATTGTTGGACACAAGGGTTAGTGCTTGCAAGAGGATTGTTCTTGCACACTAGTTGTTGATTAGTTGTTAGATTGTAGGCCTCACCGGTTGATGGTGTGATAGGTTGTACTTTCTAAAACTATAGTGAAAACTCTCTTTCATGTGGAA